GGGCGGGGGTGGGGCACCCCGGCGGCGGGGGTCCGGGGGTCGAACCCCTACCCCGGTTTTGCCCCCGGGGGCCCCCGCCTGACAACCCTGGTTCGGAAGGGCCCCTGACAAGGGTCATTCTTTGGAATTGGCAATAGGGTCCCCTTGCATGGCTGCTTGTGATACATGAGATTGAAAGAGCTGAGCTTTGGAAAAGAGATTCGACTGAGCCTTGGAAAAGACATTGGTCTCAGCTTTGGAAAGGATATTGGACTGAGTCTTGGAAGAGATATTGCATTGAGCATTGGACTCATATTGAGCATGAGAATGAGACTGAGCTTTGGAATTTGATTTAGTACTGGAGAATGCATTCCATAAACAGGGGACCCTAGACAACTTGAAATAAATTTGAAAATGGCATTGAAATGAATTTCTCTTTTCTTCTAGTCTTTGGCCTCAGCGAGAGGGGGATACCGGTGCACGCACCGCGACCCCAAGACCTCTATCTTTTTGAGGGAAAAAGTCTCAGCGCGATCTGCTCCTCCCTTAAGAGGATGAGGGTTAAAGGACTAAGGCACCTACCACTTGGATCCGTGCGGGACGTCCAGAACTGACCCCGACAATGAGCTCGGGGAGTTCAAACTGCGCCTCCTGCTGAACGCCTAAACGTCGAGAGAGTCATTCTCATCTAAGTCTATTTTGCTACTCTCCAACCACACGCTATGTCATAGAGGGGTGGCATGGTCGTTTGGATCGGACCACGGCTGCCCGCGCTAAGTTGGACGGCACTGTCCAAGGGGAGAGGTTGGGCGAGGTACCGGATGGAGTCCGCCACCACCACGAGGCATTGACACCGCTCTGCCGGAACATTACAACCGTTTCGGGACTAATTGCGAGGTCTTCGTAACTGCACTCGCGGACTAGTTGATAGCCCCAACTCTCTTGAAAGAAAGAGGCCGAAATCCTGAAAATCACCACTCGGGAGGAGCGATTCGTGAGGAACACTCTTACGGCTAGACGAGGCCCTGACAGGCTTGGATTGGACCTGCCTGATAGACGGGAGGAGGAACCTTGGTATTGGTGCTCGCCACGTAAGAGAACAAAGGTCGGACCGGGTAGAAGGATGAGGCGTCGTCCGCTGGGGAGAACTGATCATTCCTCCTTTTGTGAAGCGGATGGGCTTGTGTCCTTGACTTGCGGTCGGCGGGCGAAAGGTCTGCGTACCTCCGAGTGAGAACCAGTCGCGCGATGGGGACATCGCGTCTTGGGTGGGGGGAAGGTGTGCCATCTACCAATAAATACGCATGGAAAAAAACTTGTAATTGGTTTTTGCAAGGACCCGAGAAAAGGGGGTCCGGCAAGACGCCAGGAAAGAAAGAAACTTGTGATTGAGTCTGCATAAGCCTGAGAAAAGGGGACCTGGCAGAATGCCCAAAGCAGAAAGGACTTGAGCAAGTGATAAATGTGATCTTGACAAAAGAGCCCGACAAGATGACTAGGGAAGAAAAGATTGGTATGATTGACTTTGCACGGACCTGAGAAAAGGACAGGCAGGATGAAAAATGGATGAGTAATTGGTTTGTATGGACTTGAGAAGGAGGCCTGACAAGGCATCTAGAAAATAAATGTACAAGGAATGAGCCAAGCTTTGCACATGAAAAGTCAATTAAGCAAAAGGCAAGAACGAACAAAGGATGATATGCATGCGGAATTGGCAGGACCTAAGAAAAACCGGAAAGAATAACCCGGGAAGAATGCATGTGGATTTGACTATGTCTGAGCCTCGAGGGGAGGGAATAAAAGACGTGGATTGCACAGACCGAAAAAGGCAAAACATTGGTGGATGTTCTAAGAGTGATGATTGGATGAA